TTAGAGGGTGCGCGATCCAGGATAGCAGGGCTACACATCGCTAGAGGCTGGCGCCTGCATCTGAAAGCTGTAGCGCTCGCGTTAAGAACTGTAACTCCAAACCTGTATAGACCAGTGTCTGCCATTGGTAGACGTAGGTGGAAGACTGCGATGACTTGTAGACGTTCTTGCCCTGGCATGCGTTCACTCCGCCACCGCAGCATGACTGATCGTCGCACATAAATTCGCACAGTACTGAAACATCATTGTGAGCCTTGATGTTGCCCTTTGAGAGCAATGGGAAGGAGCGTTCAGCGCTGTTCAATTCCGTTCAGGCTGCCGTCGGGCTCCGCAGTGACGTGCTACGACGCGCTACATTGTGGTAATGCTTCGATCAAATAAGCTTATAACTACTACTTCGCAAACTTCTTACATTTACCCTGCTGAAATACTGGACCATGTGCTCCAGAGTACTAGTTGTGGAGGGTGGAGGGGCGTGCATTTTGTTATGTCGTTTCTTTCGTTTACTGTTTCGTAGAAAATAGCTTCACAGAAATCCGCGTGTCGTTACAAGAGGGACCGGCTGTGGTCCATAGGAACCATCAAAATGTCCCACCAAGCCGGTTTGCGCTGAATAGTTCGCAAAATGTTTTTTATCCCCCTGAAGCTTGCTAACAATTAAGGCTGGAAGCTAAATCAGCCTTATCACCAAAATTCTCCTTTGAATAGCCCACCGGAGGAATTTTATTAACAATATTTGGAAAATTAGTACAAACTTGCACCCACCCCCTGTGCAAACAGAATCAGCGCAGTTCTCATGCACCAAGCCGCATGTGCTATCAGGAACCCATAGATTTGATGAGCCAGTATCAAGGATAACCTAAAAAATAGAATTCACCGTAATTCGACAACCAAATTTGTGGAAAAATTAAAGTACCTGGAATTGCTGTTCGGGTGTTCCAATAGTGATATTTCCGATATACTCCTCGTCCTCATAATCGTTCACCTTGAAATTTCGCATGAACTTTATGAGGAATTAATTAATCAATTTATTTATTCATTTATTTATTTACTCATTTATTTATTATTTATTTATCATGCACTCACGGATGCGCTACCATATGAGCAAAACTAAATGGGGTTGAGAATTTATTTCTATCACTGCATTTTCAATGGTACTGGGACTTCAGAAACATTTCTGAAGCTATCTCGACATGGTTATACGTTTC